CACCAGGTCCGGGACTGAGGAAACAAACTTAGTCCCCCGCCTTTTAACATTGAGTGAACCGGCCCTGATATATTATAAGTATTACTATACATAATAATATCGTTAGTGTCATTCAGAATGGATATTCTTATAACGACGTATTGTTGCGTATGTTTGGTAGATGCCAATAGAGAGTAGTTTCGTCGGTAATATTTGCACTTGCTATACATTCGTGTATAGTTATACAATTAAAAAATAGTTTCGTGGTTACGGTTATACTCATACTTCTTACGTGAAGTTTCAAATGTGATTCGCCGATTCTCGAGAGGGTAGTTTGATTAGAATACAGACACTATCAGTTATGAAGAGATAAGACAAAGTATTTATGATAGTAATGAAAAAATTAAATTAAAGAATTAATGTTGCAACCTGTAACTGAATTTTGTCGTAGGGGTAATGAAATTTGAAAATTTGTGAAATTATATTAAAGATATATAATAGTTTTCTTTAATTATATCGCAATTTTAGGTAATAAGTTCCGATTGAAACTGGAAGTCATATTTGTCAGTTTTATTTAAATAAAATATAATGATTTACTCGAAAAATGATTGGAATAAATTGTTAAAGATTGTATGCTTTATCTTGGTTCCTTTTTGGATACTAAATGTGGGACAGTGCCTTGTCCAGAAAGATAGATTTGATGAAGAATTACTACTGAAACCTTTACCTAGTGGTCATGTATATGCCTATTTTCAGTTTACTACTGTTTGGGATGCACCTTCAGGCCCTCAGATGTGTAAGTGATATCAATACAATTTTGTGCTCCTTAGAATTTAATTTCTTTCATTGTTTTGATTAATCTATTTTCACAATGCTACAGTTCAGCATTGTCATTTATTTCCCCGAGCATTGGGAGAAGTTGCTGGCAGGCATAATGTTCAAGAACTCCATGTAACACTCACTGAAGGACTATGGCGATATGAGTATTGGGGATTCCCAGTTAGCGATGCTGCCCCTGGAGCGGAACTCTGGACATGGTTCAGAAATGACACCAAGGAGTGTGTATCAAATACTCTGTGAAATTTCTTATTACGTATTTAGTGAAATTTTAAAATCTTTCTAATTACCTTTTTGTTTCCCACAGTGTTGATTATGTTTGGAGGAAACTAACTGGTGCTTTGTCTGGTTTACTATGTGCTTCATTGAATTTCATTGGCACTCCCAACAGTCTGAGTCCTGAATACAGTTTTCGTCCCACAGGTGTTGTTAAAAACTCGAATCTTAATTCATCTTTTGTCCGATATGCAACACTGCCACGAGAAATTGTCTGTACTGAAAATTTAACACCATGGAAGAAACTACTGCCATGTGATTCCAAGGTGAAGCTATTTATCAAGTTTTTGAGGTCTAAATCATACATACATATTAAATGTAGAGAATTATATGTTTCCTCCCAAGTTCTGAATTTTTTAGCATTTATGAAAACAAAATGCTTGTTAAAGAAAAATTAGAATAATCATAATGAATTATTTGTATTTAAGAATGAGATTTAAGTTACTAATAAAGGATACCAATTAGTAAATAATTATTTGCTTGTCAAGTATTTTTTAGATAAGAACGTTGTAGTATTCACAAATTATTAATTTTTAGTTTTTGCAGTACTTCTGTAATTAACATGTTTTGTTAATTTATATTGACAAAAGGATTGAATTTCTCAAAATGACAAAGTCTTTAGGTGTAGCTAGAATAATTGGGATTCACAGTTAGTAGTATTTCAAAAACATTATGTTTGAATCTCCCAGCTGTGTAGACATTAGAATGACAGACCATGCAAGCCCACAACTTGGCTTATTGTTATTTTCTATTAAATGAATGTGGAATGAACAAAATTAAGTGATTTTATAGGTTTATATGTAAGTAGCTATTAAAACTGTGAATATTTTACATCATATATCTTACATTATCAACTGAATAAATGTTATCTACATGTTACATTCTACATGTACTTTCTTTAGGTAAAGTAATAAAAATTATATTTCTTACAGAAAGGTTTTGCATCATTATTGAATGCTGGTCATATTCACAACACAAATTATCATTCATTGGGCCTTCATATGAGGCCAGTCTGTAAGGTATGCTCCTATTTTTTGTGATTATGTAGTGTACGACTTTATTCTTAACTTTGCTTCTGTGTTCATTTACAGGATGCCAAGTGTACAGAAGTATCAATTGAACTACGTCAGACTGTTTCACTAGTATACGATATGATGATATTGGGATTTCAGAATCAGGATTGGTCTCTTAGAAAATTGTTTGGTCTGGGCTTATCTGGACCATGTCCTCTTGCAACCTCAAGTTTCATTTATGTTGATGTTACATCAAATGAGGTATTGATGTTTCTCTATTTTCAGTTTCATTTAATTCATTAAATTCAAAAGTCATTTTGAGTTTTAAAGGTTTATGTGTCAGTTTTCTAAAAATATATATTGTACATATATACATATATTGTATTGACAAATATAATTTCCTTCATAATTTAAATATATGTGGCTTGATTAAAAGAAATTGATGATTGACATGTGTGAGTGAGGGAAGTGATGTTGCTAGGTCGCAAACCACTGATAAGCATGTGACACTTAAATAATTAAATATTTATAAAAGTAACTAAACAAAGGTTCAAATTGTGTCCATTGAAGCAGATAAATAATAGTTGTTCTCAATAAACCTCTAGCCTCATTAAGTTCAATAAATGTTACACTAGTTTACAAGGGAAATACACGTCAGTTTCTTTCCCTCTATTAAAATATTTCCAAACACTAACAATTGTCACAAGCATGCTACATCATATCTTGTTCACTTTTTTGTGGTATTTGAGGACTTTACATGGGTTGGAACTCGGATATAGTGCTGCTGAGTGACTAAAATTTATTAGTAAGCCCTGATGATGGAATTAAAAGATCCAAAACATCGAGAAAATAATTGTGTAGTTATTTATACTCTGATCAATCTCATGAACTACATCCCTCTATCATGAATGTTAATTCTACAATGGTAAGGAGTATTATAAATTAAAATTTTGAAAAAGACAAACATTAATGAAATAATGTAAGCACCAAATAAAGAAAGGGAACAGTAAGCAAAGCAGAAAATAGTCAGTATCACATGGAAAAAACTTGATGCTCCCACATCAAAATGACATCTAACCTCAACAAAATTTGTTCCAACACAAAACAAACAGATGCCAGCAGGTGGGAACACAAGTATGGAAGAGGAGATTCGCTGTCTGATTATTTGTTTCCTGGCAACTCAGTAACAAGTCTTCGTATTTTCACCTACATTCCGATTATCAGTTTCCATAAACACTAAAGGCCTCATGTCACAAATGCCGGTCAGTCGCCAACTTCTTTCGTTGGACCTTACAATCTCACATCTAAAGAGGAATGAGAGTTTTAATTTTCTAGTTTCAACTTGTTGGGAAGAATAGTCAAGAAATTCGAGATGTAGAAAACTGATTTTTGACTTCAAAATTAATTTAAAGATATTGTAGGTAACTATTATGCATCATTAGTTTCAAATCCATATGATAAATGGATCCCAAACAACAGACAAAAATTCACAATTTTAACATGTTCAGTACCAATTCAATATCCCCATGTCCAAACAAACTGTCAAATCTAAAAGTTCAGGGAAAATTTCGAAGTAAGCGGGGATGTTTAAAATGTATATGGCAAATGATATTACTCAAAGTTCTGGGAGTAGTGTAAACAAAATTCACAGTGGTCTCAAATATTTCCTTGTCTATGAAACTTGCAATGAATACATTAATATTCAGTGTTTTCATATGGGTACAGGAGGAAAAGAAATCACTGTAAGAATTGCGCTGAACAGAAAATTCTGTCAATATAACGATCCTTAGGCTCTGCCATCTTATCAGATGACTCACGCCTTCATTAGTTCACGAGTTCTTAACGACAGAGTACACCCCAAGGGATTATTGGAAATTGAAGTGCAATGCAGTTTAATCAATAAATTGTCTTGCTGGATAGGATGTGAAGAGATGCAGTATAGATTTCTGCGGGCATTGACAATATGCTTGTAAAATGGCTAGCAATTTTAAATATGACTGATTTTGTTTTCAGTGGAAAAAAATTCAAAATTCAGAGTTATTGAAGTTTTTCATTTGCATTATTTAGTATACTGGTTCTTTAATTATTTATTATGAAGGTAAAATTACAGAAGTATCCATAAGCGAGGAGAAGGGTTGTGTAGAAAATTTGAGGTAATTGACAAAAATTTCAGATATTGTCCACTATTTTTTCTTTTTTGGAAATTTCTGAGCCTTGTTTTGTTCCTGGGTGAAATTCATTTGAAATCCAAAAATAGTTATTTGAATTTGGCTAATTATATGAAACTCATTTTGTATGTTGAGAATCTTCGTGGTGGAACTTCCAGCAATAAATTTTCACGCTGCCTTCCAAACACCACCTAAATGATTCCCTTTTCATGATCCAAAGAGGCAAACATATATCTCGAAACCTTGCTTTGATAATTGATACTGTTAGTAGCTGACCTGTATAACTTAGCTTTTTTCTCCAGAGATGAATTTTTAACTTACACTGTGAAGATTCTCAACAGCTGATGTCATGTTATTATTACTATCTTCTTCACTAATAGGTTTTGTTCATTTATTCTTTTTGTGTATTTTCAGACTGGTACTCCTTACCAACTACAACCAGAACCAACAGAGGTAATAACCAGTATACGAGGGGGTTATAAGAGCAAATTTAAGGTGTACAACATTCAGAAAATGAGTTTTACCCATATGTTAAATATTGTGGCTACATACTCCACTCCTAAAGTTTATGCTGTGAATGTTCCACCTGTTTTATATGCCAGCAGATACATTGTTGGTAAGTAGGAAATTTCCATAATGGAATAAAAATTTCTTTGAGCTTATATTTTGAATGTAAAAAATCAAAATATAAAAATCATTCACCCAGAGGGGATTGGTAGTTTCAGAGTACTGTATTAACCTGAATATAAGATGAGGTATTTTCTTAAATATCTTTGACCCCAGTGAATAAAATGATAAGTCATGAATGCTTAAATTTTAGAGGAGAACAAAAAACATCTCTTAACTGAAGTAGATCAGGGATTAATAATATTCAAAGGTGATATTCAAACTAAACTCTTTGTGTGTAGATTTCGTTTAAAATCATTAATCTCGGATTTGCAGCATCAGCAAAAATTTGTTTTTTTGGCTCCTGTAAAATTTAAGCATTCTTGACTTATCAGCTTATTCACTGGGTTCAAAGATGTACCATTTGAAAAAAACATTGCCATCATATATTCGCAGATTAAGCTCATATTTTTATGTTGCCTTTCCCTGTCACAAAGCTCATAATTGTTGATGAAAGAAGTTCTGAAGAGTATAGAAATATCATGCAATACAGTATGTTGCATTGGTATTCGTACATTTCATTATTGAAAAGAAATATTCTGACTTCTTCTTTTTTATTACTGTAAAGGAATAATTTCTTCTTTTGTATTGAAGAAAAATCTATTTATAATACAATGTATATTCTAGATTTAGAAAAAGAATGCATGTAAAGAATGAAGGAAGAAAAATCACTTCACCTTGGCTAAATTACCTAACTTTCTTATTTGTATACTTGAAATATGAAAGGTTATAGCAAATGGGAAAATGTGATTGGTTGATAAAAGAATCAAGACACATGAAAGGTATGAAAAAGAAACAAGGTATAACTTGAATTGCACTGAAAAGACAGACAGTTGATGATCACAAAAAAAAGAAGAAATTATTGCAAGAAGCAAGAGGAAATCGCAGAGATTGGTCATAGAGATCGGTCAGAGAGGGAGATTGGAGAAAGAAGCCATAAGGGACGGACTCACTTAATACAATTAGTTTCTGTTGAAAAGTATTTAATGATTTGAATGATTTTCTTGGTAGAAAATACAATTGAGGTGGTCTTGATGAAGATAATGTAAATTTGGGTGTATTAAAGCATGCTTTACACATGCATACTTTATGCATGCATAAAAGCATGCTATACAGTCTTCAGGAAGGGAAGTGAAATTTTGGCAAAGGAAAAGATGAATTAAATTTTGTTCAGGGCCAAGATTTTGGGTTGATCTAAATTAATTATAATAGAATCAGATAGTGAATGCCCATTATATGGATTTTGGATTAAGTAATATTGCACAGACTTGAATACATCACATAAACGTGATGAATGGTTGTATGTAAATACTGTGAATGTGATGTTTTTTTTCCATTGAACAATACTTGTGGTAAATATTTCTATGTGTATGTGTTTACTTAAAAATATAAGTTGAATATGCCCAGAGAAAGAGATTTGAATGATAATGAATTTGGCATTGTTATGCTACAATAATTAGCATGAAATTGGATGTTGCTATTTCAGTAATCATTAAAATATGACTGTTGGTTCTGAAATCCCCAAATAAAGATTAGATTATATCAGCCGAGAACTTTTAACAAGCTGTGAATTTCCAGGCCCAATCGTTTAGAAAATTGGAAAATAAATCCTTGAGATATAAGATATTTTTATGATCATGAGTTTGATATTGTTTTTAATTAAGAGAAAAAACTGAAATTAGACCATAAGAGTCTCTACTTTTCAAAGGGTGTTACATAGATGTGGGTATCATGTAAAAGTTCCCAGCAAAAGGCCTTATGTTAGCATGAAGAACAGTATAGAATGATTAAGGTTTGCAAATGAGCACTTGAACAAGGATGAAGAATCCTGGGACAGTGTCCTCTGGTGGGATAAGACTATGATAAACGTTTTTGTCACTGATGGCATTCACAGCATGGGAAAAAGTAAATACTGACAATGAAGTGGCAAACTCACTTCCCATTGCCAAACACAGAGGTGGATCTATTATGATCTGGGGTGTGTCATCAAGAGGAGTCAGAAATATCATTTCATAAAAGTCATTAGTACAAACAGGCAAAAAATCTGCAATGAAATTGAATATGCCTCCTATTTACATGTTCTAACAAGACAATTATACCAAGCATACTGCAGGAATCGATAAGCATTGATTAATATGGAATGTTCGTGAACATCTCAGAATGTCAGCATTATCTCCAGGCTTGAACCCCATCAGATATCCACAGGCAATTTTGAAGAGGAAAGTTCATAAAGAAGACGAAGTTCTGGAAAAGACAGGCTGATGAATGGATGACCATCTTTTATTTTTATTTACTTTACATCAAAAACTGTCAAAAATTGTGTGAGACATGCTACGGGGAGAAGTGTAATCTGTGCAAGTTTTCGTAATTCTGGAATCCCTACCCTAAACCATATACAAGTTAAATTCTTAATATAGAAATAAGTGAACGTTTTTGGTAAAAATTGTTAACAAAATATTCAGTACTATGTAATAGAATATATTTTCATAGGCAAAACAGCTATAGATATGGTTTCTTAACACTCATCACGTCCTTTGTTAAGGAATAATCATCTGCCCCGGCAACAAGGAGAATGATAATGTGAATAACTATATTTCCCTCTGAACTCTAGATGACATGCACAGATAATCTTCTTCTTCTTCTTCGACGGTTTCTACACCTTAGAGTTTGCCGTTTTCGATTTCCATAATTCTTGGTCCTCCTATTGACACTCTTCTAATCCTTTCTCCTCCGTTACTTCATGTATATATGTCTTCCAGGTTAAACCAGGTCTACCTCTTCTACGTCTTCTTTCAGGTATC